CTTGACCATTGATCTCAATTAAGAAATCTTGTCCATCGATTTAAATTGAAAAGTCGATTTTCTTTTATATTTTTTTTATTCAATGATTTACCAAAGAAGGAAAGGTTTTTAAAATTTTATAGTGAGAACACAAAGCTGAAAGTGAAGGAGAAAGCGACACATCAGCAGACTTGCCAAAGAATGGGTTTCTCTTAGAATATAAGATTCTTAGCGAGGCCATTTTTATTTTCTTATTTTTTTTTTTAAATGGCCTCTATCTTTGCATCATTTTCCCTTTATCTACTAAAAATTTATATAGCATGCAAATCATTTACCCCAAAAAAAAAAGCTGTTGAAATGCATGCAGTATCAAGCATGCATAATGAGAGAAAAGCAGTGTTTTAAGTAAAATAACTATGATTTATGTGAAACAAATGATTGTAGCTCAGTTGGCGTATGAGAGCTAAACAGTTGAGGGGTGAGCATGTATTCGATCCTTCCCAATACCATTTTTGGAGGAGTTTAAAGGCTTAATTCTAGATCCGTCCCGAATAAAATTGTCTTTCATGAAGGATACATATGGTTATAAAAATAAAAATAAAACTGTGATTTATGTGAAAAATTTCGGTGTCATTTATAAGTTACACCATTAGGTTGATACAGAAATGGAACATGCATGATATACCAAATCAAATATTAAAATATTTAATATTTTTTTTAAAATTTTCACAATAGTATAGATGAAATTAACAGGACTTAATGATTTATATCGCCCAGTCAATATTCACCCAAATTAATCAAGCCATCTTAAATTCGAAAAAATCAAGCGCTATTGGATTAACAGTGTTGTATATATTTAGGGTGTGTTTGGTAGGCCAATTTTATTTGGGTGCCAGGGAAAATAACATTGGGAAAAGGAAAAAACTGTGTTTGGCACCAAAAAAATAGCTAGCTTTCTAGGTAAAATATTATCTGAGTTTTTTTTTATGTGGCAAATCCTGTACGGCATGCAACCCAGGTTGTCCATCTATAGTGTGGAATAGGTTGTTGCCCGGGGAAGTAAAAAGTGAAGCGCAAAAAAATGGATGAAAATAACCTTGATTGTACCATATGTGAACAACTCTTTTTTTTTCTTTTTTTTTTGGGTACATAAAAGGGGAAAAGCCCCAAAGCAAGAAAAGAAACACAGACTAAAACATCAAACTAAAACAGCAAACTAAAGTTTCACAGACAGTGAAACAATCAACCACTTAACCAGGGTCTAGACTATCCGCCTCCAGAATTAAGGCCAGCTCCGGATAAGGAGTAAAAATAATCTTTAGCCCATGCGCATCTTCAAGTGCCTTCTTTGCTAACCAGTCAGCACCCCTGTTAATGGCTCTAGGGATATGAAGTAAAACCACACTCCAATCTTTAAGGAGCCACACTCGAATCTTAGCTACCAGAGGAAGCTTTCGAGTATCCTTACTATCACTAGTAAGTACGCTAATAGCTTGTAAAGAGTCAGATTTCAAAACAATGTTTTGCAGCCAAAATTCCATGCAAACACCAATCCATGGAGAATAGCCCAGAGTTCAGCAATAAAAGGAGAACAAGATCCAAGAAAGAAGGAGAAGCCACCTTGCCAACTGCCATTATGGTCCCTTAAAATCCCTCCACACGCAGCCCTCTCTCTCACAACTGCTCCATCAACATTGATTTTTACCATACCTACTACAGACTGAGACCAGTTGAGAGGACCAGGGGTAGTCCTATTAAGCTTACCACCTCCTAAGACTGATCTTTTCATGCTGCATTTCTCCTCTAACTGCCTATCCAGAAAGCTATCAAGATCAGTAAGTCTAGTAAAATTGTCTTCAAACAAATCCTTATTCCTTCACATCCAGAGAAAGTAGCAGATGAAGAAAAAAGGATCCCTCCAATCCAAGGAACACCTCGTGTTAAAATTAAAATTCAGGGCTAGCCATTCATTGAGATCATAAACAGAAAAAAAAAACCCAAAGGTAATGGCTGCAGTTAAGGCAATGCCCAGAATTGCTTGGCTTTTATGCAATCTCTAAACACATGGAGACAGGATTCTACTTTTCCAGGACAGTGCTTACATCTGTCAGAAGTGCTTCCCCACTTAGCAATCCTCTCTTTGGTCAGCAGTCGACCATGGTTCAACTTCCACGTGAAAATTTTAATTCTTTCTTGCCCACTCCACTTCCATATCTTCCCCCAGTTTTCATTCAGGTTGCTTTTAGGAAAATTCATCAACTTAATATAAGCCATTTTCACCATTGAAAAACTCGGACTCCAATTCTTCCAAACCAAACAATCAGCTTCCCTTTCAACATCAGGTGGGGGAATAGCCAATATCACATTATAGATTTCGGCATTAAAAAATCTGGACAGATAATTTATATCCAACCTTCCGGGGAAGAGAAGGTACTTTGATCAACTTTCAGCTCAATCTCAGCATCCTCAGGAATAGACTTAGCATAATATAGGAGATTATGCTCAAGACCAGACCACTTATCAGTCCAAAAGCTAACATGCTGTCCATTACCAACCTGCCAGTTAAAATTCTCCACTGCATCAGACCAGACTCTACACATCCCTCTCCAAAAATGAGAATCATATGCTTTAACAGAAACAGCTTTAGCTGCCTCATTCTTTCTGCCATATTTAGCCAGGATGACTTGAGTCCATAACTGAGAATGATTATTAATCAAATTCCAGATATTTTGTGAAAGTAGGCTTCATTTTTCTTCTTCAAATTAATGATCCCCAGACCCCCTACCTCCTTGGGAAGCTGAAGACACTCCCAAGCAATCAAATGCTATCTTCTATGATTGTCAGAATCCCCCCAGATGAAGTTTCTCTGCAGCTTTTCGATAGCTTGAACTATAGCAACAGGGAGGAGACTGTTCTGCATGCTAAACATTGGGATGGCAGAAATGACAGATTTGGCCAGAATGAGTCTTCCAGCCATAGATAAGCACTGCTTCTTCCAACCACTCAATTTGGAATTGACTCTATCCATAATGTCACCATAGTGAGACTTACCAATTCTCCCATGCTTCATCATGTAGCCTAAATATCTACCAATGTTCTTTGTGCGAGCAAAACCACTTCTCTCCACAATATCAATGGCCAGATCATCAGATACATTCTTGGAAAAGAATATATTGAATTTCAACATACTAACTTTTTGTCTTGAAGCCTCTCCAAACGAATTTAAGCGATTCATGACAGAATCAATTTGGTTAGTAGAAGCTTCTGCAAACAACATTAAGTCATCTGCAAATAGAAGATGAGAGATATTGGGACCATTCTTACCTGCTTTCATAGGATTCCACTCCCTCTTCTCCACTGCATTAGCTATGATGAGAGAATGCTTTTCCATGCAGAGTAAAAAAATGTAAGGGGATATGGGATCCCCTTGTCTTATACCTCTGCTAGGAGAAAATGACCCCCCTTTAGCCCCATTCCAAAGAATCTCCAGCTCGGAAGAGGATATACAATGCATAATAAGCTCAATGAAAGATTCAGGTAGCTTAATTTCTGTTAGAACTTCCCGGATGAACCTCCATGAAATAACCCCACATTCCTATTATTGTAAAGGTGGGGTTATTTTTGTAAAATAACCCCACATTCCTATTATTATTTTACAATCAACCAAACAACAACTCAGAAAACTTAATCACATAATCCCAGGAAAATTTTGGTCAACCAAATAATTTTTTGTTCCTTACCCGATTAAAAAAACTTCCCACATACTTTCCGGTAATATTTTCTTTCCAGTAAAAAAAATTTATCCTGTACCAAACATTCTCGATTAATATTTCTCTGTATGAGATGGTGTCATGTTATTCTTTTCTTTTTCTTTCACATGATCTCACATAAATTTTACACATTTTTATGTGTGTAAAAATTAAAAGTATCTCCTATAATATTAGAAACAATAATTTCTATATTTAATTATTACATATCAATATATATCAGTGTCGACCCAAATCTAAATTAAACCTTCTTAAATTGGATACACCAGTGGTACAATATTCATACTTTATTATTACATTTTTTTTCTCAATTTACGGGGTCAAAGCCCAATTTTTTTGAGTTTTAATTGAAAAAGAAAACAGAAATTTTGAGCCAGACATTATTAACTTGGAGTAAGTCTTCATTGCTATGTAGTACATACTTTGGCAAAAGTAAAAAAGAGTAGGATTCATGTAATATTAATCATAAAAGAATAGATAAAATAAATATAGATAAATAAATTATTATTATTTTAACTTTAACTTAAAAAAAGAAAAAGATTCGTTTACAAACTTTTTTTGAAAATTTTTACAAATTACATTATGTTCTCCCCGAAGAACATAGTGTGATCAGTGTTCTCCCAGAAAAACATAATATAGTTGGTAAATAAAAAAATTTGTAAATATATCCTCTACTTGAAAAAAATGGTACAATTTCCTCAACTTAAACAACAAAGTCACAGTAACAATCCGTAAAAGCTCTCTGTTCCTGCCAATTTTAGGATTAGAAATTTAACATTCTCTCTTCATCTCCCAAAAATTGGAGTCATATCCTTGCTAACCTGTCTCTCACGGTAGCCCCAAATGCCATTTTTTCTTCGCCCCCGCACCCCATTTTCAAGTTTCAACCCTCACTCACAAATCACAAAGCAATTCCTATTAACTATATAACCTTTTGGTCAATAGAGAACCAGACAAACACACGTCCATGCCAATCTTATATAATGCCACTAAGGCACTTAGAATTTCTTGTTTGTCGGTTTGTCCAGTTATCGAAACAGGGACATATTTGCAGGCCTTCTTTCATCGCCCTAATATTCTCTCGTCAAATGCAAAGTGCTCCTCTTTATTTTCGTCCTTCTCCCTTCATTGGACTCAATAATATATACATACCTACATTCATAACCCTCCAAAACCCATTCTTCTTCTTCTTCTTCTTATTATTATTATTATTATTTCCTTTCTCTTGAGTTACACACAATTACTAGGAAAACCATGAAGAACGCATCGAAAAACAAGTTCTTAAACTGTTTCCGTCCTGTCGTTGATATAGATGCTATGCTTGAGTCAAGAGCTGTCGTTGATCACTCTGATAGTCGAAAAACAATGTTTTCTGACCAAGAGTGCCAGAAAATTACACAGAATTGGGTTGAGCCTCAGCGTCCAAAACGAACGCTTGCTAAGGTGATTAAAGTTGTGGTGTTTGAGACCTTATTGGTTAGTCTTTTAAATCTACATTAGCTTTCTTTTGTAGATAAATTGAACTTATATTTGAAACTAACTTAGTTATTATCTTGAATATCTTTGCCTAACAGAACACAAGAGCTCGCAATAAAAATCGCTATAGCCAAAGTTGTTTTGGATCAAAGCGCGATTATTCGGCATACGCAGAGAGTTCATCAACCGGTAGTGAGAAATCCATGTCGAGCCTAGCTTCTGGGAACACTAAAATTCAAGAAATCAAGGCTCCTGAATTGTCTTTTTCAAGTTCATCTTCAAGCACGCCAGTATCAGAATCAAAGAATATATCAAAGTGTGCTTCTACTAAAGACCAATTAGAGAAGCAAAAGAAGTGCTTAGGAATATACTTGGTTCTCGTAAGCTTAGTCGTCACGGTCCTTTGGGGTAAGATTCATGGTATTATTTTGACATCAATGTCGCTTTGCCTTTTCTCTCTTTGGATCACATGCTGTTGCCGACAAAAAGAGGTTGACAAGTTATGCAACACAGAATTCAAAACCAACAAGAATAGCGATAGGGAACATAATGTTTTTACTTGAGAATTCTCTCTATTTTTTCTTTTTTTCCTCTCCTGATATGTACTTAAAATAAAGATTTCTTACTGGCAGAGAGACACAATTTTCTTGCATTGTTATCTTTTTCACATTTGGGAAGTAGCTGAGAGTGGAGGAAACCAAAATCACCTGTTCATATTAATCTCTCTGTTCTTTCCTCTGTTTGTAACACATGGAAGGTAGAAGAAATAGTTATTAAATTCGGTCGTGAGATGGATGGTTATTGCATCTCAAATTTGTGACAAAACCTTCGCCTGAAATACTAAAACGGTACTGAATTAGTTTTATTTTCAGTAAATATCTTTTTTATTTGCTAGGGACTAAATCGAGTATCGTAAAATTTACTCAGGAAAAAAAAAAAAGATATTTACTCTTTTATATTTTTATATGGATCGTAATTATCTACCTGAGATGAGTCAACTTCAAATATCTGAGTTTCAAAATTTTGAATTGATTATGAGACTAAATTAGTTTTGAAATTCTAAATATTTTGCAATCAGTTTTTAATTGGATTTGACAGGTTCGATTCACCTTCACTCCAGCAAGAGAATCAATCGGGAAAAAGAAAATAAAAATAAGTGGTCACACAATCAATTCCCTAACTTACTGCTATTTTTCCTAAAACAAAATAAATAAATAAATAAATATATGAAAAATAATTTCAAACCTTCATACTTTATATTAATAATTTTTATTGAATAAATCTATTTTTTTATTAAATACTAAAAAGTTATAAAGAATATGTTTTAACTTTGAGAAAATTATTTGTGCTTTAAAATAAGGGTTCATTTTTTCTTCAGTTACTGCAGATAAATTATCTACAGTAAGCTCAAAACAACGTAGTTTTGGGACGAAAATCATGGTGTTATTGTAATTTTAATTTATTTCAGGGTTATAATAGTTTTTATATTTGTAATTTTTTAATATTTCAATACCAAAACGACAGTAACTGCAGAAACATTTTTCCCTTAAAATAATGTAAGTTGTGTTATTTTAGTTTTTTACTCTATGTACTCCCAGTAATACATAGTTATAATATGAAAAGTTATTTTTTTTCCCTCTATCCTCAGTCACATCAACTGACGTAAAAAGTGAAAAAAAAAATCATATTATAACTATGTACTACCGAGAGTACATAGAGTAAAAAACTAAAAGGACACAACTTACATCATTTAGAAGGACACACACTAAACCCTTTAACTTTTAGAGAAATAATTATCACATATTACATGAGATAATTATCTCATACAACCGAGACAAAGTAGTGGAATTATTATTTTTTTTTTTAAGTAGTGAATCACATTATTTTGTCTCTGTTACATTATATAATTATCTCATGCAATATGAGATGAATCTTACCCACCCTTAGAGATTGACCCATAAACTCATTCAATCACACCTTCTAATTCTAATAATTCAATGTGATCTTTTCTATAACTTGCCCTATTAACTGAGATACTAGTCTTGATCTTTACATTGATTAAGCACTTGCAAGGCTAATAATTAGCCCTCGTCAATTATTTATTAACCTGGAAAAAAAATAAGGCTCTACAATGCTATATATATATTAAAAAAAAAAAAGCGTCCTCACTAGATAATCTAACCTGAAAAAATTGATTATTTCCTTCAAAACATTGAATGACTTAGAGACGTAGTATTTTTGCAAATACACCCTTCGTCACGATGGCGTCCCTACAGTCATTAAAGGAACGAAATTTACACAGCCACACAAGTTTTACAAATACAACTTCTCGCTCAAATCAACTTGCGTGAGACGTAATTTAAGTGCCATTAGTTTCTTGAATTAGTAGTTCGTGGCTTCTCTGTATTCTAGTTATATAGTAAGCTTTAAATTTGCCTACAGTTGTTGTGGCAACTTTTGACAAACATTTATGCACCACGCGTTTTTCTTAGGTCGGTTGCACGACTACCTTGGCATTAACGACACGATGTCGTCTACCATATTTCAAGTTGTTTCAAGTTTCAACCTGTCTTTAAAAAAACAAATTCGATCAATTAATTAAAAGAGATTTTTCTGTATGTTGAATTTGTGCTCCACTATCCTTCCTTCCACATGAAGACGTTAGCTATCTTACGTGTGAGTCCGCAAATGATCAAATTCTATCATTGCAATCATGGAATATAGGCGTTTTATATTTGGTCCTAGGACCTGAAATCTGTGGCACTGTTGATCTTATGATTGAAACAATTTGTATTTTTCCCTTTCTTAAACGCAACTTTCTCGCTGTCGGGGCCCATGCCTTAATTTGGCTTAGGTAATGGCTTGGCCAATCAGAGAAAGAAAAAAATGACAAAACAATATGAAATAAATGTTAGAAAGCTTATATATATTATTAATACAAATAATTTTGTTAATAAGTGTCTTTAAGACACTAGTTAAAGAATTAAAAATAATAAATATTATATAAAAAATCAAAAGGTAAAGCAAATGGAGAGTTTTGTTATATTATGAGACTAGCATTTTTGAAAAAAAAATTAATTAATTGGTAAAGCTTTTTTTATGGCATATACTACGCAAAGATTAAGAAGCGGATACCATATTAAAAAAAAAAAAAAAAAACGGATACCATCTTATACTAAGAGTAGAATTTTAAAAATTAATTATCGCAAGTTATCTAATTTATATTTATATGCAAAAAAAAAAAAAAATGGACCAATAATACATAAAGTTCTGCTGGTTTGATATTTACCAGCAAAACCATGAAGTACGTATCAAGGGAGCTAATATACTATGCTCCCGGACCAATGCATCCAAAGAGACTAAGACAAGAGGAAAGAGGAGAGAGAAAGGAAGAAGGAGAAGATAGAAAGAGATCAGAGAATTTATTTTTGTATCAAAGAGTCTAATATATATATAGTTTTTGGGGGGAAATAAAATATTCGTCATTTAAATTGTGTCATTTAATAGATACAAAGTGATAAGACTCGCGCACCTTTATTTTTTTGTTTTTATTTTTTAGTGGGATTCATACTTCCTTATGTTTATAAAATCACATAATTTTTGTCAGTTAAATTTACACACATTTTTTTCGTAATTTTTATCGATAGATCCATTTTTGCGATCTACCAAATGAAACTTAGGCTTTTCCCTTTTCATAACCACTATTTTTTGTTGTTACTTTTGCATAACCACTCTGTTGGTTCATTAAAGATGGTGTCCTGTGACAGCTTCACACGTAAAATTGACCTCATCCCACTATTTCAAAATTCAATTACGTATTTATCCCGAGAAAACCAAACAATTTAGGAATCGACGGATCCGAATATCAGACGTGACGTGAGTGTATATCATACATGAACCTGTACATCGTAATCTTACATGTCAAATATTCAGCGCTAACAGCACTTCTCTATTTTCTCATTAGTATCCTCTCCATTGTATTGAAGGGAAATTTCTATTGTGCATGGGATGCACCCACTTGGATGCATTTTTTTCGGAAATCAGAAATCTTTTATATCATTTAAATTCTTATCTTTTAATTTTATTCCTTGCATGTCTCTACTGTTTTCTATTTTAAGCAATGATGTACCTATAGCATTAGTATTGAAGATTCACTCGTATTGAAGGGATACTATTACCAGTGAAATGGATATGCAGCCACGTCACCTTTTATTTTAAAACTGTTAGTTGCTAATTGGTTATTTTTGTTATTTTAGTTCTTCTTGTTATTTTCTTTGCACGTGTATTAGTTTAGCTGATGTATATAAGCTTTACATATTACACATTGCAAATGAATGAAAGTATTATTTAGTTTCCAATTCTCCTTCTTCTTCTTCCTTCTTCTTTTCTTCTCTTCTTCATCATTTTGGGCTCTGGTAACCACTCATAGCTTCCGCACAAGAAATCTCTGTTATTAGTAATGGATCCCTCAATTACACAAACTGCATCTTCCTCTCAATCATCTTGTTCATTTTCTGATTTTCAAACAAACCAGACAAATCCATATTTCTTGCATGCAAATGAAAATCCATCACTGGTGTTGGTATCCCCAGTTTTTTATGGTAGAAACTATCATACATGGGCAAGATTGATGAAGATGGCCTTGAAATCGAAGAACAAACTAGGTTTTGTGGACAGAACTGTTAAACTTAGAGAAATTGGGATAAAACCTTATGTTCTCCTTTGGAGAATTCTCATTTAAATAGTATGATATAATTACACAATCATAACTATACAATCATAACCTACAGCTAGCTAATTAATTAAGGATATAATTACACAATCATAACCTACAGCTGGCTAATTAATTAAGGATATAATTACAAATCATAACCTACAGCTGGCTAATTAATTAAAGATATAATTACAAATCTGCACAAATAATGTCAAATATTCTGCTCATCAATTCTATTGACAAGAACCATTTCAGCTCCATTAGAGGAATTAGACCCTTTGTTCTTGGCATGGGATAGATGTAATACTATGGTATTATCTTGGCTACATCGTTCGATTGCAGAATCAATAATCTATTCAATTGTATGGATGGAAGTTGCATCAGATGTATGGAAAGTTCTTATTGAACGATTTTCATAAACTGATGCATTCCGCATTGCAGATATTCAAGAAGATATGTATAAACTGAATCAAGGAGCTGATACAGTGACTCAGTTCTTTACCAAGCTCAAGACATTTTGGGACGAGTTGGATACATTACAACCGTTACCAAAGTGTACGTGCATTCCTAATTGTGCCTGTGGCTTGATGATGCAAACACATGCAAGAAACAGTAGAGAAAAGGATCATATCATTCATTTTCTACGTGGCTTCAATGATCAATTTGCTGGCGTTCGTTCTCAGGTGATGTTAATGGATCCTTTCCCAATATAAATAGAGTATTTTCTTTAATTGTTCAACTATAAAAAAAAAGGATTAATGTTGAAACAAAAGAAGAAGTAAAAGTCTTCTTGAATACAAATGAACAATCACAAGTTCATGGCCAAGGTTTCTTGAATAGAAATGAACAACCACACATTCATGGTCAAAGCTCCTACAGAGGAAGAGGCTATTCAAACTATGGGAGAGGAAGATCAATGCCAGGAAAAGTGTGCACTCATTGTGGAAGAACAAACCACGTTGTTGAAACGTGTTTTGAGAAGCATGGATACCCTTCAGGTTATAGAAACAAGATGAACAGAAGAGCACATTTAGCTACTTTCAATTCTGATGATCCCTTTGAATATGGTGAAAACTTGGATGAAGGAAGAAATGAACTCAATGAATCTTTTCACTTCACAAAAGATAAATATCACAGTCTATTAGGAATGATTCAATTACCACAAGAAAATGGAACTCATTCTGCTAATGTTGTCCAAACCAATGCAATATCTTCAAACACAGGTAAAGATAAATTTCAATGGAAACAATTATAAATTTCAATGCAATATCTATTAGTTGCTAATTGGTTATTTCTGTTATTTTAGTTCTTGTTGTTATTTTCTTTACACGTGTATTAGTTTAGCTGATGTACATAAGCTTTACATATTACACGTTGCAAATGAATGAAAGTATTATTCAGTTTCCAATTCTCCTTCTTCTTCTTCCTTCTTCTTTTCTTCTCTTCTTCAAATTTGTTAGATACAATTAGTACAGTAATAGATATATCGAATAATATTAATTTGATTGTATAAAACCAACACGGAAACATAATCTCATGATTCAAACCATATAATACAATTATTCGTAAATATCAGAAGATGACTTATTGTTTTATCAGTAACAAATAAAAAGAGAGACAGAGAGACAACTAAACTTGTTTCTAATTTCCTCCTGAGGACTTGGAGCTTGCTGATGAGATGTTGCTTTTGGCTTGGGAGGAGATTGTTGAGACGTTGCTCTTTACCTGTGAACTCTGGGTTGAGCTTGAGTCTGTGAAGAAAACTAAGTTCTCCTGATTGTCACCAAACACTTGAAGGGATCTTGGAATTGGAGGCAAAGTCACCTCCAAGATCCCCTCAAGAATTTGAACTACCTGACCCATGGTTGGCCGGTGAGTTTCATTGTCTTGGACACACCAAGAAGCAACTTTAATTATTCTAGTGACCTCTTCAATATCAGCATTTCCCTGCAACAAAGGGTCCAAAAGGCTAAGGACACTGCCACCTTGGATAACAAGGTTTGCAGCGCAGGTAGGAAAAAACGTAACTTTGCCATCTTCTGAAGGCTCAGAGTTTCTCCTACCTGACACAAACTCAAAAAGCATCATTCCATAGCTGTAGACATCAGCTTTAGCTGTGATAGCCACCCCAGAAATCCACTCTGGTGCAAGATAACCTCTTGTTCCTCTCATGGTTGTGAGGACCCTGCTGAAATCCCTCCCAATTAGCTTTGCAAGCCCAAAGTCTGCAACTTTTGGACAATACTCAGCATCTAAGAGAATGTTTTCTGGCTTTACATCGCAGTGTATAATACAGTCTCTGCACTTCTCATGGAGGTAAGTTAATCCCCTTGCTACTCCAAGAGCAATTTGGTATCTCATTTTCCATTCCAACACCCCAGAGTTCTTGTTCTGGAATAGATGGAATTCCAAGGAGCGATTTGGCATGTAATCATAAACCAGAAGCTTTTGGGCACCTTCGGAGCAGAATCCACGAAGCCGAACGAGATTAACATGTTGTATTGTCCCTATTGTACTAACTTCTGTTCGGAACTGCTTCTCTCCTTGGCTAATGCTTTCCAACTTCTTCACTGCTATGATACTTGAATCACCCAACATTCCTTTGAAAACAGAACCAAAACCTCCTCCTCCCAATTTATCAGAGAAATTCTTTGTTGCATTTTGCAAATCTCTGTACCCAAATGCCACCAATGAACCCTCCACAGGCTTTCCTGTTCCAACCATTCTCCTTCGCCTAATCATGACAAATAAAAGAAGGGCCAGGACAACACCTATGCCAACAACAGCCCCCACAACAACACCTATAATCTTCCCGTTACTCTTTTTAGCATCATGAAACTCGGATGCTGCAAGTTTGAGATACATAGTTTCTCCTCTACTATCATCTGAAGATAGTTGTTGCAGATTCAGTAGGTCTCCATTCCAAATTGAACACCCATTACTGCCATATGCATAAGCAATGCAGGAGCAGTTGTTCAAGCAGGTTGATTCACATTCCCCAACATTCCCTGATCCCACAGATTGTGCATGTTTAGGTAATGCCATGTTGGGGATTGCTAAGAACCTATCCTTATCCCTATTAGAAGGATTGGAATTCCCGCATTGCAAATTGGTTTTCCTCTTACACCCACCTGAGTGATCCCCTAGATCCCAGTCAGATTGTGACTTGGGCTGAAAACCAGTTAAACAGTTACAGAATGGCATTGAATACTCAGTGCAGCTCCCAAATGCACCGCAGAAAGCATAAACTTCACACTGTCGTCTTGGCTGTGACCAAAACAAATTCCATTGTTGAGTATTATCCAACCACGAGAGTTGCTTGATCTGCCCCGAGATATCCATAACAAACCGAGATATAATGGAAGAGTTATACATGGAGTAGGTGAAATAACTCTCGTTCTCGTTTGTCACAAATGTGAAATTGTATATATAATTTGCCCTCATTTCGGGTACCAGGCTGAAAATGTGTCCATTCCAAGGGCCACTTGTCCAATACTCTTCAGATTTATTCCAAAGAATAAGATATGAAGTGGTTCCTTTAGGGTCTAGTTCAAGAGAAAAGAGACCCGTTGCAGGATCTTGATTATTCTTCCATGAAGTGAGATATTGAGGCTTCTTTGTTTTATTATCAAGTTTAATTTTGCCACCTGGAAGCCATGTATCTGTTGGATGATCAAAACTCTGCCATAGAAAATCTGATGTTTCATTAGGCCTATCTCTCAAGATGAGATTCCCAGTATCTAGGAGTACAGCTACAACAGAACCTGGCCTAGGAGAACTCATACTCAAATTTGTTGACCAAACTTGATTTGAAGACCCATCTAAGAGAACTAAATTACCATCTGATAATGTTAACGTGGCATTATTCTTGTCAGAGACAGGGTGGTCTCTGTTAGCTACCCAAACAATTGTCTGTTGAGTGACCTTTTTGTACCACGTGCCTATGTAGTAGTTAGAGGAATTACCTGGCTTGAAGAAACCCAGTTCAAAGATCCCACCTTGAGATAGCAGAGTTTGGTCACCTGAGAGAGATTGGTTTGCAGAGATGGTGGTGAGAGGTGCTGCAAGGGAAGGGTAGGTGTGGAAAGAGAAGAAGAGGGTGAGAAGAGAAAACCATAACCATGTCTTCCTCATGTTGCATATGGCTGCGCCTCCACTTAGCATTTTCCAGAGACAAAAAAAAACCAGATATTTTAGGACTTAGGATTTTGGTACAAGTGGAACAGACAATGAATAACGATGAATGGGGAGAACAAGTGTATGTCGTGCTGGAAACGAGAATAAGTTAATGCGCTGATTGCTGCTGCCAGGTTGAACAAGTCAAACAAGTGCTTACATACTGACTACTCTGCCCTTTTGGCCACGGCAATCTAACTTTGTAGGAGTTATGTCATTTTCATGAATTGTGACAAACCATAAAGTGATGTATGGACAACTCTGTAAGTGAGGGGTGTTTTATAATTTTACATTATCTCTTTCTAATAAAATAAGATTAGTAATATTGATATTAAAAATTAAATAACAACTCTAGTTGAACTGAAATAAGTATTTTATGTTTTTAACATAAATATTGCCATAATTAATAAAATCGGACCAACCCAGCCAGATCGATTTGGGAACCGGTAAACCGGCATATAACCAATCCGGTTGAAGCAACGGATCGACCATGTATCAGAACCGGTGCAACCCAGTCTGACCCGGCCGATTTTCATAAAAACCGGTGATCCGATCGGTTAACCGGTAACTCGACCTGGTCCCAAAAAAAAATTCAAAATTTTTAATTTTTTCAAAATAAATCATAATAGTCATATTTGAATTTTTTTTTGCTTATTAACTTACATAAGTTATGTACCTACAACATTAATATTATCTCAATTATGTACTATGCATAAAAGTTTGAATTAATTTATAGTTAGAGATGTCGTTTTACGAACCTAAAGCCTCGTATCACGATCATTATATTTTTGTTTGATTTTTTATTTGATAATAATACGTGATTTATTATTTTTTGTATTAAAATATTTGAAATTTTTATTATTATTTTTTAGATATTTGAGTATGTTTATAATTTTTTAATATAAATTATAAAATTGCATATAATTAGCAGGTCATGCGGTTGAACCAATGACTCACTGATTGAATCAATGACCCAGTACCTCGACCAGGTAATCACCGAGCCATTTTAATAACATTGAATATTGTAGTAACCAGATAACCACACACAATTTTCCATTGTACAAGTTGGCATTTTGTAACATTTTTTTTATCAATAAGTGACCGATAAGAATTCCTTAAGTGTACGGAATCGTGCAAGTGACATAGGAAAAGTATAAATATGGTACTCATAAAAATTATAATATCATGTATCAATTCGCTTAGTTAATTATTATGCAAACTCATAACTAAGATTGAATCAAAGTTCTATAGTAAAAAGATGATTAAAAAAGATGAACGATACTCCTGACTCAATGGTTTTAGGAGAATTGTTTCCTACTACGAGTTTAACAAATATATAAATAAAATTTAATCTTGATTTTTAAGGATTTAGACAACAAAAAATACAAGGTTAAAGATCTAAAATTGGGGGACTGATCCAGGCTGAAGGTCTAATTCTTTGTCTGATTATAATTGCTTTTACTCTGAGGTATCTTTTATTTTAAACTATTCATGAGATTAATTATTGTCCAATTGCCAAAAGCACAAGCTGTAATTCAGGTTTTATCACATGGGATGGAGGTGAGTTACCAACTGGAACAGTCTTTGGTGGGTAAATTCAATATATATTTTTTTATTTTTGGTTACAATTCAATATAAATTTTAAAGTGAATAAAAATGTTGTCTTCCATCATTTTCCCTTCTTGTGATCATGACGAAGACATTGGTCATCAAATTGAAATCTGGTTGACAAAAGACAAAGTCGCATTGATGGCGCAGGTAAAAAGTTGATGGAAACCGTGCTACGATCATTTTCTCCGGAAAAATAAAATAAAATAAAATTGTAGGTTTGACGCTAGTGGAGTTCAGATTTTTCCATGCTCCTGTTTTCAATTCCCTGCTCTGACTGACAAAGCTTGCAAATTGTTTTACAATTTTATCAAAGACGATAGAATGTTCTTCAAATCAAACCTCATTTCGGTCATCGTGGGAGTGTAACATATTGAGTCAAATTAAATGTTGAAAGTTTAGAGGTAATAAAGTTCAAATTTAATTTATTTATTTAAAATGAATCAATTAAAGTTAAAGTTATTTGACGTATTTAAAAATAAAAATAAATTTGTTTAATTCCTTAATAACTTACTTATTTTATTTATTTAAAATATTCTTTATTTTTATCCAATTATAATTCATTATTTATTATTTATAATCTTTTAATGTTGAACTTATTAAAATCACGTTAAATATATTTATAAAATATGACTAAGTTTAAATTCAAATTTATTTATAATAAAACCAACAAACTTTACATCTAATGATTCAAAGGAAGACTTAAAAGCTCATTTTCGGCCCAATTCTTGAGATTAAAAGCTGTCCACAATTATACGACAATATCAATCATAAAATAAATGAATTCCCCATCAGTGACGCTATGTTAATTAAGACTGTGTACCGACTCTACTTTTTATTTTCTTCCTTAATAAACCACAAAATGCTCCTTCGTACAGTTTCCTTCTTTAAGATGCGTAGATCCTTCGTTCATTTTTGCCTGTGACTCTTATTTGTGTGAGTCAACATCACTTACATATAGGAATAATAAATGAACGAGGGGTTTTAAGAGATTTTTGAGTCGACTGGTAAAAGTTTGACTTTACATATTTAAAATTGACTGTTAGAATCAACTTTGAACTTGTATAAAAACTCGTTTAATAAAAAAATGTCTCGAATTTCAATTCAAAAGCTCGGTCTTAGAGTCTCTGGCCTAATATATTAATTTTTATTTTTATTTTATATTTTTTTATACTACTTGTATTAACCTTTTCTCTCTCCTCAATCCATATCACCTTATTTTATTGTTTAAACAGTCTTTCTGAATGATTTTGTTCTATATTATAATATTTGGATATACATTGAATTTATGAATATTTATGAAATTAATAGTGCTGTTGATTGTATATTTTGTTTAGATAAATTTTTGTTGTCTTATTTTTTTTTAACAGGTTTTTATTTTTATAAATAAATCAAACCACGTGTTGATAATTATATTCATAACAAGTAACAGACTTAGTGATACTGACACATTTAAATACAAACTTAACTTTTTAAGACCAAAGTTTGACTCGGCTCAACTTACATGCACATTTATTTAGAAGTAAACTCTAGAGTCTACGCTTAGATAAATGAATAAATCATACGTGTCATATATGTGTGTATAAAAGTAACATGACTAAAAATCAGTATATGATTACAGTTATATTTATCTTATGTTACATAAAGATAAACTTGATATTTCAACTGTGTGTTTATCTCATTCATTGGTAGTCTTTAAATAGGCGAACATACAATAAATGGTAACAACGTAACAGACTAAAACAAATAAATACTCTATCTAAATAGTCCTACGGTTACAAAGAATTCAAACAATATACGTTACAAAGAATTCAAACCTACGGTTACAAAGAATTGAATTCAAACAATATACGTTACAAAGAATTCAAACCTACGGTTACAAAGAATTCAAACAATATACGTTACAAAGAATTCAAACAATATACTGTTACATATAATCTCCAACACTCCCCTCAAGTTGGAGTACGTAAGGATGAAATGCCCAACTTGGGAAGAAAACTAAGAAGCTCGCGTTGTCCCAAGGCTTTAGTAAACAAATCAGCAAGTTGGGAACGAGAAAGCACATGAGCTGTTGTAATATGCTTGGCTAGAATATGTTCACGTACAAAGTGGCAATCTAACTCAATATGCTTGGTACGCTCGTGAAACACCGGATTCGCTGCAATGTGTAAAGCAGCTTGGTTATCACAAAACAATTCCATAGGACTTGAGTGTGTGACCCCAAGAGAGATGAGAAACGACTTGAGCCACACAATCTCTGCTGTAGCTGCAGCCATTGATCTATACTCTGCTTCTGCAGAAGAGCGAGACACCGTTACTTGTTTCTTGGTCTTCCAGGATACGGGTGAAGAACCCAACATAATAAAGAAACCAGTGAGAGATCGTCTGGTAAGAGGACATGAAGCCCAATCCGAATCACAATAGGCATGAATTTATAGGTCACAATCCGATTTGAGGAGAAGTCCTTGACCAGGATCTCTCTTTACATATCGAATAACCCGGAGAACAGCCTCATAATGAGCTAGGCGCGGTGAATGCATGAATTGAGAAAGGATATGAACAACATAGCTCATGTCGGGTCTTGTGATAGTGAGGTAAATCAACTTACCAATGAGTCTTCTATACCGTTCAGGGTTCTCATATACTGGTATGTCATCCAAGGCAAGACGATGATTTTGTTCTATGGGGGAAATCGCCGGTTTACATCCACTGAGCCCGGAATCAGAAAGAATATCCAGGGCATACTTACGCTGACATAAAAATATTCCTTTCTTGCTGCGGGCAATTTCAATACCCAAAAAATATTTCAGACTACCCAGGTCTTTTATTTTAAAACACTGATTCAGATACTCCTTGACTGCAAGACAAGCATGTGAATTATTACCTGCTAAGATGATGTCGTCGACATAAACTAAAAGTGCAAGAGACACCTCCTCTTTTTGCATAGTAAAGAGCGTGTAATCAGCTTTTGACTGAACAAATCCATATGCCGTCAACGAACTGCTCAGCTTTTGACTGAACAAATCCATATGCCGTCAATGAACTGCTGAGTTTGGAAAACCAGTTTCGGGGTGATTGGCGCAAACCATACAATGACTTTGTAAGACGACATACTTTATGCTTAGACCCAGTACTGAATCCAGGGGAAATCTCATGTAAACTTCCTCACTTATTTCTCCATTCAAGAATGCGTTATGAACATCAAGCTGGTGCAACTCCAAGTTTCTTGCTGCAGCCACTGCAAGCAATGTACGTACACTCACCATCTTTGCCACTGGTGCATAAGTCTCACTGTAATCTTCTCTGGCAATCTGATAATTACCTGCAATCACCAATCTTGCCTTATACCGTTCCACCGTTCCATCAGAACGATATTTTATTTTAAACACCCACTTGCTTGGAAGAACACGCTTCCATGGAGGTAAATTCGTGAGGCACCATGTATGGTT